TGATTTTTAAACCTAAAGCGGAACTGTCTGTGTCTAATTATTGTAACAGTTTTAAGTATAACCAAATAGTGCAGTTTACTTGCAGTGCAACTAGTTTTGAAACATGAATTACTATAGCCCTGATGTTTGTATTCATTTCTGAAGATGAGTGTTAAGTTTGAATGGTCATTTAAAAATTTTCCATTTTGGTGTGTTTTTTTGAGACACATTGTAAGAGCATCAATATATTCTTTTATCGATAAATGTAATAACAACATGATTTATGACTAGTTCATCTACATTGTTTCTTGATCAAAATAAAATTAGGGTAAAAAAGAAAAATTAAAAAACCCCTGTTGTTCAAGGGCTGTCTATGTTCATTATTTGGTGATTTTTCCTGACACACCCTTGTGTACTGGCTCAGACTCTACAAGTGAAACTTGTGCTTGCAACCCCTAAATCGCATCAATTACCTTCTCCTGTAACATATCTCAGGTGCAGCTCATAGTTTTGTAACTATACATCAGGCTTTCAGGAAAGCAGATATTTTCTGATTATATGGTTTCTTACCTTTTTAAAACAGATTATCTCCTTTGGTAAGATTGTTCTGAAATGTAACTTAAATCCCTAAACATTAAAATATCCATAAATAATCATATATAATAGCAGACTATGTTGCCAAAGCTTCTGATTATTGGTAACTTCTACTGTAATGGGAACCAATGCATTTTAGTCTAGAATGAACATTTTGGCCATAAGCTTCTGTAATCACCATGCATGGGTAAGTCAGAGATAAAAAAAAAAAAAAAGAGAAAAAAGTTTCCTACAGCACAAGTAAAGAGAAACTTCAGATATATAGTACAACTTCTGCTGCTTTTTCCCGAGATTGAAAACACTGAAATCCCACCCTGTTTCAAGTGAAATCATTGCTGCTCATGCCCAAAGGTAACTACATTGGCTCTCTACTGAACAATCCCTGTGGCAGAGGAACAGCAGATCATGCTCTTATAGCAGTAAGACGTCTGCCTCTTTAATCTGAAACACAGTGCCAATGGATTAGTACAAAGGGGAACTCCTTAAAGAAACATAAAGCCTTCTTGGGAACTAGAAATCATGCCAAAGCAATGAAAATAAAATGTTTTCTGAAACTGTGGATTTCCATGAATGGAAAAATGCTTTATATCTCTAAGAATGCAGGATAAGTACGGCAAGGTAATCAGTTTTTCCACCTTGTCCTAAACTTTCTGACAGAGAATACTAATGAGAAAAGCATGTTTCATACTCTTCCTTCACCTTTTGTCCTATAAGTGGCAGTAAACCTTTATGTATTATGGCTAGGAAAGGTCAAGGACAGGGACCAGAAAAAATACGAAGTGAAATAACTAAGACTGCCACACAAGATTCTCCACAGATTGAACCAGACAATATTTTTTAAATAAAAAGTACTATATTTATCCTCACTATATATATTTGCACATGCTTTCTATATCAAATTGTCCTGATTTCAATGAGACATTAATTTTTAAGTTTCCAGTTTAAAATTGGATTGTGTAAAGAGAAACAAACATATTTTAATTGACAAGGATTTGGTGTGCTTTTCACAACGTAGTCTGTCACAATCTGTAATTGATTTATTTAAGATGAACCAATACAATGCTGACATTTTCAGTAAGATATCTATCCAACACTATTCATACAGACACTACTCAATCAAGCGTGCTCTCACATTCAACCAGTTTCTTTCTGGAACTCTGCTTCAGTGGCTGATTGAGAAATTAGTCTCAGTAAATGAAACTATTATTACTTGCTGTACCTACACCTACCTAGGAACACCTGAGACAAGACAGACTGTTCAAATCCATCTTCCCCAACTGTTAGTTCCTAAAAATAATTAAATGTTCCACTGTAGTGCAGAAATGCATTCTGTTCTCTTCCTGCCACCTAAGAATAAGCCTTAAGATTTCTCTCATCACAAAAATGAATTATTTTGTATTTTGCCAACAGTGAAAAAGTAATACAGGCAATACCGCACATTAAAAAAAAAACCAACAAACAAAAAAACCCAAGAAAAGGCAAGAGCATAAGTGATCTGTACTTTGCTACTGTCAAGTCACTTCAACCTCAAAAATGTTGAGAGTTTAGTAAGAAAGTGTAAAAAACCTATTGTGTTAATCATTATGACCACTTAACCACTGCACTTCTGCATTTGGAGAATTTTGGCTTTTGAAAACTGATTTGGTAAACCTGTTGAATATGTAAATTCTCACCTGAATATGATCTCAAATCCTTTAGGAACACATTTTATTACCATCTAAAGCACTATTTTATTCTCCACTTGAATCCAAATCTCTTTCCTTTTTTTCTTTTACTGCTGTGATCACTATCTCAAAAAAAGAAATTATAATTTGGTTACAAACCATTAAAGAGTAAATTAAAAAAATATCTTGAGGCTATTAATAGAGGAATTTATAAATTTCTGTACAAGTGAATTTGATTTATTTATTTGTAGATCACAACATACGGAAAAATAATTTGAAAAAATGCTACTTATTTCCATTGTTACTATAGTCAACTGTCATCCAATCCTGCAAGTCTTTAACTTTAAACAAGCCTTACAGTGACATCAGAATGTACAGGAGATTAACATCTTTAGGTTTAGATCAAAACTCTAAAGCAACAAAAAAAAAATGGAGCAATAATAAGGGTTTTAATCTCTCTCATGATTCCCCAGCAGCCTAAAACCAAAGTCCTACATGATGCATACCTAGCACGACTTCCATGGTTATACTCAAAACCTGTGTATGGAAAATTTTCCTTACTTGGATGTCCACTTTCCTATCTCACAGGATAAAGTAGGCCTACTTTAATAACATTATCTCAATCCACTTGAAAAGCCCTCTTAATTCTTATTAAAATAATCCAATCTGTTTGAAGCAAGATTATTGTTTTATTTAGAATACTAAACTTTAACTAATTAAATGCAATATTAGGATGTTAATTAGCATACACAAGACAGCTTTTAAGAATCCAATGTGCACACATGCCAATTCATACTAACTGAAGCCTGGACCCCAGTGCCATAGTTTGCCCAACAGGCAGTGCCTAATGCCATCCTCCTCTACATCCCCATTCCAAGAGTCATACATGCAACCCAGTTCATTGGTAATGGGCTTACCTTTGATGATGAGGATCCACTATTTATCCTCATTAAGAACTAAGTAGAAGGTAGCCACCAGTATTTAATGTTAAGACTAGATTCAAATTTCATTATCAACAACAAGATGGTTTCCCTTTTCCCTTAGAATCTAACTGGGTAGTCAAAGCACTTACTACACTGCAAAAAGAAAACACAACTACAAGTTAGTACTGGACTTTAGCTAGTAGGACTTTTGAGTTACACCCTCTTTGACTGCCACACTGCTCAGCCATACCACAGTTTTCCAGTTTCACCTTCAGCTTTCCTTAGAGTTATCTTCCTCGACCAAAATATAAATCACTGAAAAGACAGGGCTCACCTTCAGTTTTGTCAAGTTCATCAATACAAAACAACAGATTTACTGTCTACTGAAATAAGTGGGGTTGGGATCTCCAACACATAGCCTAAATGTTAAAAATTTCCCCAATTAAATTGACTATCTTATTATTCCCCTGGGTTTTTTCCAGTCAAACCAGGATAGTTTAGGCATAAGTACCTAATCTAATTCAAGAACTACATTCAGTGAATGGAAACACATGATGGTTACCAACCCCTTCACGAACAAAAATTCTAAAAAACCTAAAATAATAAAGATCACTGTTTATCAGCATCCAAGTATGATCTCACATATATACCCCAATACTCAGTACCAATATATGTTTTAAATATGGACAAATTACTTATGTAACATAAACCACCTTCTTTCTGGCAAATTTTGCTCAGAAAGTTAAATATATACTGTTCATCCTTGTATACCAAAATATCCAGACAGCTAGTGCAGAAAGGAAAGAAAACCACCTTACATTTTGCACCAGAGAGGTAAGGGGGGGGGGGAAAAAAAGAGAAAAGAGAACAAACACTTTTTAATTTCACTTGGTGATTGATAATCAATACACACAAACATACAGTGTAAGATTTTTGAGTACTACAGACCTATGTAAAATAGTCTAAATACCAGATCAGAGATGAAAATTAAGGGACAAAAAGATGGAACATTTACTCAGTGCTCTGGTTTTCAACTTCTAGTGAGTTCTTAATTTATTAGTAATAACTTGTTTTTCTTGGAGAGGGTTCAGAAAAGGTTGAGAGACTTTTCTAAGCATCAGCTTAAAAATACAGCTATTCTAAATGGCAGCTTAAGAAATTTATAAATAAAATTGAACATTAGGACGTCTAAACTTGGAGAGACATGCTTAGAACAGGAAATGATAGTTTGTTAATAAAGAAAGGTAAATCATTCTCTAGGCTTCCGGTGGGAAACTTGGCAGCAAAAGGATTTTGACCTCAGTGAAAGGTAACTGCGACAAATGACAAATCAAGCAACTTTCTTCTTACAAGTGAGGCAAATGTTTGGCATAAGGCTGGACTGCATTCAGATCTATCATTCCCTGTGGCATATTCTTCTACCTTTAACAAATAATCCTGTAAGCTTTCTGCACTGACCATACTAATTACCCTTTTTTCTCCTCTGAGTAAAGCCACGCAAGCCTAACATTTTTTGTGAATGATTACTTATTTCCTATTCGAAGCACAAAAGCTCATCTCTTATAGAATAGGTCAAGCTTTCAGTGCCTATTAGTCCTAGTCTGGAATGAATTAATGCATTTTCCTATGTTCATTTTCCTTTTCTGTTGTAGAAACAGTATATGGGACATCTGTGCAAAGGAAGGGAACAAAAATCCTGAAGTAAACAGTAAGAAAAGAATACACTTAAAAAATCTATTTTCGTTTTCATATTAGGCTCACTGTTACTATAGCACTGTGAAGTTTGCAGTTCTTCCAACTCAAAACAAAAAATGAGGGGAAAAAATGACAAGTAGCCCAGTTTAATTTCAAACGTTAATATATTTTCTATTTTATAGTGAACATATGCATCGTTCACCCCTTATTTGCAGCAACTGTGACGTCCTCATAAAAAGGGGTGACATTTTTAAGATGCCTCTTAAAATAAATATTTCTTTTTATAAAATAATAAAACTTCAAATAAATATTTTTTACACTAAACAATATGTTGAAAAAATTAGAAAATAAAGGCTGAATTTTACTGTAACTGTACAATATACATGAAGTCCGAAGGGAAATCAAAGTCTTGTAATAGAAAGTTTCCGTAAGACAAAATACAATCTAAAAACATACTGATTGATTCACATTCTTCCGAATGTACAACATATTAGTATAATATTTTATGACTGTGCCATGTCTTATGACACCACTTACTTTTCACAGTTGAAAATATTATTGTATATACAAAAATATAGCATATTATCTCTGGCAGAAAACAATGAAAAAAAAGCAGTCATTTACTAATTCACAAATCTTGCAAGTACTATTCACAAACAATAGAGTTGCCTAGGAGTGTCTGTGTTGCTTTAGCTTATGCAATATGTGGGTCACAATGTACTGCATCCCTTTTTTTTTTCCCTGTATGCCACTAGCTGGATCCTAACAAGCGTATCAGTTAAGATGGCACACACAGAGAAAAGCATTTCACTGCAAACAGCAAAGTACATCCCCAACCCTTCTACTACAGTGCCAAGACCATAGCTGCTTAGCTGGTTGCATATGTATGTTAAAATAATAATCCTTGTTACTTTAGTGTTTCTGACTAGTGATGCTACGTTGGCTTTTCAAAGTTCCTAGGGGGGATGCTGGGAACTTTGCAGCAAACGGTGTTGGAGTGTTTACAGCGGCACCCAGGCCGATTTACCCGGTCGTAACAGCCCTGGCACAACTTAAGGCAACCCTTGGCTGGTAGGTAACACCACAAGCAAGGCAGAAAGAGGGAGACTACACCCATGGCGGACCACCTAGTGCAGCAATGTGACTGACTGCAGGAGCAGGGGTTATCAGCACAGTTGTCCTCATCATCGTTAGAGCAGTGGTAGAAGAGGCCCTTCACGCAGCAAACGCAAGTCCCGTAATCAACCACGTTCTGGGCTGAGCAAAGACATTGCTTGTCACAAATCCAACATGAGGGCAGGGTCCTCGGATAAGTGCACTCCTTACACTTACACTTTCCACAGTCTTCACACCTGTAGCTGTGTGCTCCCAAGTCTTCTTTGCTCAGTGGCTTCAGCTCGCTCGACTTGAGCTCAGACTTGGGCTGCATTCGGACTATCCCATCAGCAACTGGCCCTGAGGATGATCCTAGAAGTCTTTGTTCAGATGAATTACTGCTCGTACTTGTCCTCGTACTGCTCCGTGAACCTGTGCTGACCGTGCTGATAGATCGGGACAGTGGTGCCCGAGGCGATGCGTGTGTCTGTGTGTGCTGAATCCGGCTAAAATGACGATGCTCCGGCAAGCCATGGGGTCTCTCATTTTTGGATTGGGTTGCTAGCCGAGGAGTGGACTTGACCCCTGGCCGTGGAGCTACCGTAGGTCCCTCTGTGTATTCATTCGTGTTTCGGATGGCTCTGATCTGGTCCAATGACAAGACGTGAACCTGCTGCATTAGGACATCCCGCAGGTCAGGCTCCCCGTGTGGTCTCCCACTGTCACGCCGAGCCTGTAGTAAGGGCTGCGACCCACTGCTGTGCTGAGCTCTTGTCTCCATCAGTGCCCGGAAGCGTGCTCACCCCGGCAGGCTTAGAACACATCTGAAATCCTAGAGCAACAAAGAGAGGATTTCACTATTGCAACACATCTCATGCTCACTCCAGCAGCCTTTCAAGCCTGCGGGACCCCACAGCACTGCATGCAATCAAGTAATGCATCAGTCATTAAAAAAAGGAGTCACATCTGGGGCAGACTACGGGCACCAGTCAGCTGAATGTACTTCCCTTGGCCTGTTCTACCTTCTGCTGTGGAGAGCTTGAGGGGATTCTTTTCTAGGACTGCACAGCTCAACTTGTGACTCTAGAAAGTCTAGATTTTGCTCCTGGTAACTAAGGCTTCCCAGGCCATCTTCTGGTTAGACCATGGCCTTTAAAGTGATTTCAGCCACTTGAAGTGACACTTATTGCACATCAGGCTACTGAAAAACTTATATTAAAAAAAAAACCTGCAAGTATTCAGCAAGTGTAATGTGACCTGCTGATGACAGACATATAATTTTCCAATTTTGTTTAAAACTGAAAAATATTTTGGTAGGCTAGTCTCTTTACACATTAAATTTTACACGATGTAAATAGGAAATTTTAGTTTAATACCAATGGTCCCAAGAAAAACACTAAATAGTAATAAAATGTTTGAGGTTAGACATGAAATGAGTTAGTGCTACCAAAAACTTCAACAGCACAAGTAAAAATATCTATCTTCAGTATTTTAGTGTGTGTCATAGTTGTGTACACCATTGTGATTGTTATTTTAAGGCTCAATACTACAAAAGCAATGCTACCACAGTTGAGTTTTTTTTTAACGTTTAAAAAATGTAGTCCATAGACTACATTTCAAATTATAAATATTACCAAGAGTGGCTTGTGGGACAGAGGCATGCATAATATAATCAAACAATGCCAACATCCAAGAAATCTACTTGATTGTGAATATTGCTTTAAGAGATCATTAACTACAAAGTACAGACGCAGACGTAAAAATTTAAATGAAAACCCAGTGAAAGACATGGAAGATGAGAATTCGTAAATAACTTCCACACTCAGATATGCACAAGTTTCAAGTACTGCCCTCTAAAGTAGTTAATATTTGGTTTGCCTTTATCATATCTTAAAGTGGCTCCAAAATCCAATTACCTATATAAAAATCCAGAAAATATTTTACAACTAAAACCCAACCAGGAATCAACTGTCTTACAAGAGCTATGCAATGTCTGTAATTATACCTAGAAAAAGCACCATAGTGTTATTCTGAACACATCAGTTACCAACAATAATACTGTACCGCATTATAATAAAATATAGCCAAGTAGTTTAAAAATGAATATCTTTATACTAACAGCAATGCAAAACATTTAACCATTTAACTCCCAGCTTCCTTCCTTTAAGTGTTTTTTCTTTAAAAAAAAAAAAATAAAAAAATCCAACTCTAAACAGTGACCATCTGTTTTAAATACTGTCAGATCCTGGTTTTGGACACAGGAGGTATGTCATGGTGTCCATACCTCACAAACAAAAAAAAAAAATAAAGTCTTGCAAACTTGGCTTGAAGCATTGCTTATGTTTTCATCAAATTAAAACCTCTGCCATATCAAAAGTTTCAACCAACAGCCTAAGCAGACGTTCCGCTCATCTGAAATTATCTGAAGATAAAAAATAATAGAAAATAAAATACTTTCCCCATCCTTGAGAGGAACTGGCAGCCCTATCTGCCCTCCACGTCCAGATTTCCGCCAGCCCCAGTCAGCCTAGAGGATACTGCCTCTCCAGAAATGACAACCCACTGCAAAAGCAAAGCTGACCCTGACCTGAAGGCGCTTCAGACGACCCTGGGATCGGCGGCGGAACCCCCTTCAGACGCCAAGGTGGGAGCTGGAGAAGCAGCCTCCGGTCTCCGCTCCCCTCCCTGTCTCCGGCTCCATACGGGGCGGGGGGCGCGCAGCAGGTGAGAGGCGACGGCCCCTAGCCCGCCGGAGAGTGCAGACAACCTGGAGATAACCAGGAGACATCCTCTGAGCTGGGAGATGGGAGGGGGCTGCTGCAGTCGCCTTATCAGAAAGTCAAATCCATGTTTTCTTTTAACTCTTTCCCCCTGCCCTCCCCCAAGAGATGCTAAAGGAGGTTCCCCTCCCGGGAAGTGCCAGGCGCCCTGCAGACGGTGCAGACAACACCTCTGAGACAGCTGGGCAAAAGGCAGATTACCCCCTCTCGCCTTGCCCTAAGCACCCATTCAACTTTACAAAGCTAGCCGCTGGAAAAGCTCCTCTTATTTTACGCATATTCTGCAAATTGCCTGACCTTCAGCCCGCCCCGTTCCGCCCTAGCCCGGAGGGACCCAGGAGGCATTTTCAGTGGGGCATCGGGCCGAGCTTGGAGATTCCCCTTTTTTCTCCCCTTGATAGATCCGCTAACAGGACAGGATGCAAAGAACCATTTATTTGCAAACGTACATTTGCCTAAAAACCCTTACGGACAGGCACGCCTCTCCCTCCCCTGACCTAGCATTTCTTCCCTTTGCATCCGCCAGGAGCAGAGAAGCAGATTTGCCTTTTTGTGAGTACATGTGTGTGATAACACGATTCCCCACTTCAAAGAGCCAAAGTCCACTCTCACCGACCTCAAGTGCCAGATTGCTAACTTTTCCTAGCTGAGCTTGGCAAAAGGTCGAGCGAGGGGGACGGGTTTCGCATCGGCACATTTGGGGAAATTTAAAACGCGAGGGGCTTCTTGCGTGCTGTGGAAAAACCCCGTGTCCTGCTGGCCGGGGAAAGGAGAAGCCTAAGGGAGAGAAGTCCTCTGCCCATGAATTTCTGTTTTGTGGCCGAAGCCTGTGCAAGACACCCCCACCCCCATTCCCACCGCACACACACCAACCACCTCCTTTTCTTTCAAAGTGCTTTGAAACCCCCATTAAGGGCCGAGTGTGTGATCAGACTATGGATTAGGGCAAAAGGGACTTTACCATCGGGGTGGGGCAAAGTGACACACAAATAGCTTGCTGAAAACACCAGCAGCTTTTTTCTTTGGGGGAAAAGGGGGTTGCTACGAAGTAACCCACCAAAAAAAAAAAAAAAAAAAAAGTAAAAATTAAGGCTTTTCCTTTCCCTCCACACATGCCCTCTACACAGAAGAACTTAGGGAAGCACTTTCCTCGTCTTACAGATCGAATTAAGTTTCATCACCGGAGAAATATCTAAGTGTACACACACACACATATATTTGTACCAGACGTGCACTCACTTCCGAATCACACGAATCTCCCGACGCCACTACAGACGGGCGTAAAACATGCACTGAAAGGCGAGTTTGCTCGCTCTCCCCCAAGACCGGGGGACAAACAGCCCCGATGCTTGCCAACCCCGCAGCGCCCTTCCTTCAGCTTCCCCCGAGGCTTGTCGGAAACCCACGCGTGCCCAGCGAGGCAGGAGCGGGTAGTACCTCCCGTGCCCGGTTCCCCGCAGCAGAACACGTCGGAGTGTGTCTCCTCCAAGCCCACCCCCCGCCCAACTAGCAGCCCCCGCAGGCATTCCTGCGCGCCCGCGCAGCCCTCCGCCCCCTGCGCAGCCTTCCGCACCCCCGAGGCACCCCGTTGGGGCGCAAATGCGGCGCAACCCGCAAACCCCAGCGGAGCTCCCCCCACCCCTCCCCGGAGAGAAACCGCTCCGAAATCCCACCTCCAGTTCGTCTCTGGGAAAGGAAAGCGAAGGGAAGGTGGGGAGAGGGAGAACCTGTACGAATGGAAAATGGATCGGCCTCAAACATTTCCAGGAGTTTTCTTGGAGCAACCAAGGGGGGAGGTTACTGAAAAGCTTGTTTTGCAAAGAAGGAAAAGGCTCTCACCGTGATCGCGGCGCTGCACCAAACCCCTCTCTCTCTTGTATTTTCTTCTTCCTGCGGTTTGCAAATAAATCCAGCCCTAAAGCAAAAAAAAATTCTTTTCCAAACTCTGCTTTAGTCCAACTTGTAAATTAGAGAAAGAACGATCACCATGTAAAAAAAAAAGTCCAGAGCAAAGTTAGATCCCTCTCCCCAGATCGATTATAAATACTTGTGTGCGCGTATACACTATAATAATAATAATCATCAAAACACCTCTCCAGGTCGGGGTGGGTTTTCTTTGCTCCTAAAAAGAGATCAGTCTCACACACACGCTTTTCTTTTTTTTCCTCAATGAACAGGAGGCCGACTCGCCAATACCAAGTCACTTTTTTTGTTGCTGTTGCAAACGATCAAGAGGAAAGGGGAAAGCCAAAGAAAACAAAATAAAGTGGATCTAAAATAAAATCCCAGAGCTTTCTTCTACTGAGCTCCTCCAAAAAAGCAGCTTGTGCAATGTAGCCGTTCTGCTGAGAAGCTGCTTGCTGCAGGCTCCTCTCCCCTCTCTCCCTCTTAGCTTTCTCGCTCCCTCTGCGAGCGTGTGTGTGTTGCAGGCAGCTCTGTGGTTTGCAATCGGGGGGTTGTTTTGGGAGCGCAGCGGATTTGTGGTGGTGGTTGTTGTGTGTTTGGAGGAGGTGGAGGAGGAGGAGGAAGATTTGAGATCTGAGCTGTAGGGGCTCGGCGTTTTTCTGCTCGCTCGCTCTCTCCCTCTCTCTCTTTTTCTTTCCGGAGGACGTAGGGTGATCTCTCTGCAAAAGCAGCAGTAAATGGCGTCATGTGGATCTGAGGAGGAACAGAGCAGTTGTTGTCCCAGAGGATATATCGCATCCGGTCCCAGCTCATTGGCTCTGCGGGGCTACATTCACTGGCTCTCCCAGCGCCCTGCCAGCACTTTGAGCTGCGGGAGGCATTCAAAAGGGCAGTGCTGCCGCCGAGCCAGCCCGGCGGCTCCGGCCCGTTCGCGGCGCTCCCCTGGGCTGCGCTGCGCGGGGCGAGCGGCAGCCCCGCTCCCGGGGCCTCTCCGCAGCCTGTGAGCACGACAGGCTGCTCCGTGCACAGCCTCACGCCGCTCGGGGTTGCTTTTGTGCTCGTGTATTTACTCAGAGGCAGGCGGCGATAGCTTTGCAGGGAAGCCGAGGGGAACTCGCTTCTCCCGGGGAGGAAGGCGCGCTTTCCCCGCCGCTGCGGGCTTTTGGGGAGACCCGTGTTCAAGCGCTCCCCTTTCCCTCCCACACGATTTTCTTAACCGAGTGGAATAAAGGTTTGCCCTTTCTGCCCCTCCCCCCCTTCGCCCTTTCCAGTCGCCGGCCGCGCAGGGAGCAGGAAGGGTGATTACTTGGGGCATTGTCCCGCGGATTAACGCGATTAGGCGGCGCGGAGGGCGCCCCCATGCCCAGGCGGGAGCGCGGAGCGGGGCCCGCGGGGCGCGGAGCGGGCGGCGGGGCTTTCCGCGCCTCGGGCGGCTGCCCGTGGGGTGCGCGGCGGCCCTGGCAGCAGCGAAGTCCGCTCGCCTCTGCGGGGGATGGGATAGGATTTTTTTTAAGGGGGGGGGGGAGCACACAAAACCCCCCTAAACTTTATTTTAATCAGCTCCCAGTCGTGCGGGGGACATGGTCTGCGAGCAGCTCGCGAACGTGACTGTCATCTGGGCGTTCCCTGACACGGCCACAGCTCGGTCCCTTTGGTACGAGCTGGAAGCACCGACGGGACCACTGGGGCTGGTTGGGCCCGGGCATCTTACGCCAACACGTATCTATTAAGCTTCCCCGCGTCCCCACGCAGGCATGCACCGAGCACGAGTGTTCCCGCGCCACGTGTGGCACTGCTTAAAAATACACACGGTAAGGCAGGAACGCGCTGCGTTATTTACATGAACAACCCTCGCTGCAAACCCCCACCAGCCCTCTACTACTCGAGGCGATTTCGCAGGCACTTCCTCTCCTACACCTGCTGGTCAGCGCTGTGTGGAGGGGGTGGTCATTGCCGATAAAAACGTGTAAATAAAGAGGGCAGCGTGTCTCACGCGGCCGGCCTTAGGGTTTTCGTGGGTTTATACGCAAGTATCCATTCTTCCACAATAATATTTTGAGCTTGCAACCTATTTTCCATAGTTGGTTGACAGGGAGGTCAGCCGGAGTTACACAGGGCTCACTTCTTCCCTTTCAAGCGGGATCCACCTCTCCCTATCCCGCACAAGAGCTGACGCAGGCCGGACATCCGTCCCCTCCTCACCCTCTTCGACCTGCGGGCCTGCAGACGAAGCGCAGTCCCGGCGGGGCGGGGGCTGTCCTCCGACGGAGCTGCAGCCTGGGGGGACTGGGTTACCCCTCGGGGATGCCGGGGAGCGGTGGCGCGGCCGCTCTCCCGCCAGAGGGAGCGCGGCGCCGGGGCGGGGGGCGGCAGGTCACGGCTGCTCCGCGGGGGCAGCAGCCCCGGCGCCGGGCAGCGCCAGAGGAAGCCGCGGGCCTTCGCCTGAGCTTCCCCTCGGGAAGGGGCACCCGACAGCCTGGCGTCTCGGTGAGGATGCATCGAGGAGAGACCTGAGCATCCTCGGAGGTGTGCCCTGCGTGCAGGCTGCGCGCTCTGTGTCAACAAGGCAATCCACGGGATTAGACTGTGAAGGATGTATGGGTTAAAATACCTGGGAAAAAGAAGACATGGTATTCATCTCACTCTGGAAAGACAAAAATAACTTCCTCCCACATGGTAAAGTCAAAATAGCTGTATGCAAGAAGTATGCAAGCCTATACACATGAGAAGGGTCTTTTAAATTATTTATCAGTGTTTATACTGAGTGTATAAATCGTGTTTTAAACCGGAAAGTTCATAACACCATTTTTAAATCTGTTGGTCTGTAGTTCAATCGGCAACTTATGTGCCTGTTCTCAAGTACAGGTGTATACACTTAATATAGAGAGTAGTCTCAAAGACAGATCTGAAAACAGTGAAGCTATTTTTATTCACAAAGTCCGTCATGCGTGCAAAATGGTGAAGCATCAATGTCTTATAGTTCAAAAAAACCCCTCCAAAAACCCAAAACTCCAAGCATATAGCATCCAGTGTATGAGTTTGAAAGAGAGACACCAAACCTACAAAGATTTGTGCACTAACTGGCACACAGGTAATCGAGAAACAGTGCACAAATCTGCAAAAATGGTGTGCTTTTTTTTTTTTTTTTGTGCTTGTGTGTTTACGTGTTGGAAACTCAAAGCTGGTTTCTCAGGCTTTTAATCTGATGGTACTTTGAAACTAGTTTTTGGAGGATTACATGTATCACTCACATTTCACATTTCTTGTCATAGAGAATGACTTAATGCATGTGATTATGTTTCCCCTAGTGGATTGCTCTAACCACTGCAGGATTTTTTTTTTCTGCTTTTAGCCCAAGCAGACCTTGGTTTTGGAGATGAAGTTCTTTAGTTTATTCTCAGCAGAAAAATATAAGTGTTGTGTATGTGTATATTGGTGTACACACTAACAAGCACATATGTTTGTATGCGTATGGATGTGTATATTCATTATATATTTGAATTGTAGCAATTCCAGTGACTTCATTTGAAAAGTAGGGCACTTGCAAAGGCTGTGACATGACAGACACCCACCTGACATAGTTGAAACTGTTGTTCCACGAGATTTTACTTGAGTTGATTTTCAGACCCAGGACCTGGAAACAAGTAGTTTTCCCCCGTTTTTGAAAAGAAGGTTCATTCATAATGAATTCTTCCTGCAAGGGAATGAAAGTGCAGTAAATTTGCTGACTTTGAGAACATATTTGTGCATTATCTCATGAGTTAATGCAATGATTTGTGAATATTGATTCTACACATCCTAAAAGGACCAAGTTTGGCTGTGCATTGCTTCTAATGCCCAGTAGTTGCTTGGAAACTTAAACCTTTAATTGATTGTCTTCTGTGTTTGTGACTCTGAAAAAGCTAATGTACACAAAATAATTATATAGCCTTTTTAAAGTGATTACTTGTAAAACTTTTTTACCTACTGATATTCCATTGAGATTCTCAGGCTAGACAAGGGAACTTAGATATATCATAGGGAGAAAAAGAGAAGTCAAATGCACTGCACTGTAAAGAGCTGGACATTTTTATGAAAATAAATAAGGTCCCTGACTCAGTACTGTTAGTTTTGCTTTTGTAATTTAAATTGTAGTTTATCTGAGAGAAATCCTGGAATTTTCTCCCCTGAAAAGGGGGAAAATGAACAAAGGCTTCTGGGAACACACTCTGGTGTGACAAGGAGTAGCACTGCTAAATGTTAAAGATAGAATAAATACCTGCCACTCTGGTTGGGAATGCACATGCTCTGCAGCTGCTTGGATTTGGTCTCCTGTTTTTAGTGATGCTCAGATCTTCTGGGATTAAACTAGTATTTTTCAGATCTAGCTCACAATAGACACTTTCTTTAAAGGTGATATAGGCTAGATCCTCTGTAACTTTATCCCATCTGGTGATTGCCACAGTATATAGAGGGACAGTTGCCAGAAGAATATTTTCTTATTGAATACCAAATATACTTATGTAAACTTAAAAAATAAATAAATCCCTTTCCCGATCCTTCTGAAATTATGCTGAAGGATACATACATTTAGTGCTTGTAATGTAATGTGGACCTTTTGCATGTAAATTGTTCTAATAAAGCTAGTATGCTCTTTGAAGTGTCATTCAATGTTATTTGGTTATATTTGTGTCCTTGATAAAATCAGCATTGGTTTTTTGGGTTTCAACTGTGTATACCTTTCCATCTTATACAATGCATCTTATAATTAATTTTCTCAAATGCCTTGAGACCAAATGTTCAAAAATGGGACAATTTGGTGTGGATGGGACTGAGTGCAGTTTATTTGCTATACTGGTATTATAGCAGGCTTTTTATGGTGTGGTTGGTTGTCCTAGGGTATTCCTCCTAACATTTTCACTTCTTTAGTAGGAGTAATCATGAGAATGGCAGAACAGACAAGCCGTATCTGTTAATGTTTGTAACACTGCACTTTCTAGACTCAGTCAGTTAGAGGCTAGATAATGCTGGGCTTGACTATACTAGAATTTTATGCAAAATTAACTGATTGCCTATTAAAATGTTAATAAGTGCTGGTTTGGAAATTCTCAAAATGTTTTATAGAAGAATGCAGACATTTTTGTGTTGACCTGAGATTAAAGTGACTCATAAGAAATGGGAGAGCTTAATGTTAGAAGTTATGGGAAATTTGAAAGAAGGTTTCATAAAGAGACTTATCACATCTCTACTGTGGTTTGCAGCAGTAGTTTTCAAATTTCTCAGTTGGTAGACTTTAGACTTTTTCTATGCTTTAGAAGTAAAAAAAATCATAAGGCTTTTTTTAGAAAATTACAAATTATGAGACCTCCCATTTAGAAGTTAGTCCATAGGAATCCACAGATCACAGTTGGAAAATCACTGATGTAGAGATACCTGAACTAGCTCTAAATTGCAATGTAGTAGAAAGATAAATGAATATCTTGGGTACTCTGAGCAATGGAGTTATAAGAACACAGATACCTGCTCTTCTCAGAAGTGCAAGATAGCTTGCATGGACCTCTATACTGTCACTCCTGTTCCAGAACATAAGGTACTTCTCTCAGTGGAGGCTGAAGTTGAAAGAATACTCCAAGAGATTAACAATTGGTAGCATATAGCTTGCAAGTCAGTCAAGGGATACAAGTCAGACTTACAGATTTTGCTGCAAACAAAAGGAAGTAGATTGAGC